GTTTTATTTTTGTAAGTTAAAATTATTGTGCATTCAGTAATGAAGTTATATTCTGATCTTTCAAAATCTTTTGTAGAATTTCTTACGAATGTTTCTACATCATCAGATACAGAGAGAGAGATTGAGTTTGTATCCGAACACAAACTGGAACCTAAGTTTGTATCCGAATATGAGCCGGAACCTGAGTTTTTATCCGAATATGAACCAGAACCTGAACCTATACTCGAACATGAACCAGAACCAGAGCATATATCAGAATCTAAGCTCATGTCAGAGCAGGAAGTGGAACCGGAACCTACATTGAAATCCGAATATGAATCAGAACCAGAGCTTTTATCAGAACCTGAACCATTCAAGTTGTGGCTAGAAAACGAAATTCCTTCATGCGAACCAACACCAGTGGCTCGTGATGTAGAGCCTGTAGCAGAACCAGGATTGCATTTATTGAAAATGTTTAAAGAATTAGAAATCCCATATGTAATCAAAATACCGATGATTACTATATCCGAATCGACGCCTCCCCTTAATTCACCGCCAGAAACACCTGAAATTTTAGATGGAACAGAAGAACCGAAATCAGAACCCGGCACATCGGTTGAACGAGTACGTTAACTACTTTATTAATCGATTACTGAATTTTGTTTTAATGTTTCCAGTAATATTATTTCCCTACTAATGACGGTTATAATAATATTTGCAGGAAGAAGAGATTATCAAAATGCGTAAGTTTCAATTCAATTATTTCCCCCACTAAATTATTCCAATCAAAGTTTTAGAATTCTTAAACTAAGAATAAATTTCATACCATAAATTAAGTAAAAAGGAAAAAGAAAGGCTCGAAATATGGAATCAAACCTGCAAAGAAAATTTTAAATTTTTAAAACATTTAAAAATCATAAAATGAATTTTACTTAAAATTGCCAAAAATCATGCATTTACAGCCTATGACAGCGCAATTGTACATTTGATAAGAAAATTACAGTTCTGATTTATTAAGCTATTCAAAAAAAATTTTCATCCATCCAAAAATTAGGTTATCAGTATTGATAATTAATTGATAAATTTGAAACTTTGGAAATAAATTCAAAACGGTAGGAATTAAAGTTTATCAATAATTCATTATAGTCTATCGCAAAGATTTATGTCTTATGCAATGACGTCAACTCACGTATTATCTTTTTGCTTTTCACGTGATGTAAAAAAAATGATATTTGCATGTTGCTTAAAATTAATGCTATTTTAAGTTGACAAAATTTATTCGTTGAAATTTTAGCATCAGAAAATGCTTCACGACGAAAAGGTTACAGTGAAGAAGCTTGGAAACGCTATCAAGAATATCAAAGTGTGAGTTATTCGCCACAAATAGATCACTAATATTTTTAAAAAAAAAAAAAAAAATGGTAAAAACAATATAATTACTCCTTAAAACGATTTCTGTAGTTTTTTTTTCCACTTTCCCATTGATTTTTTTATTTCAGGAATGGAATAAGTTTCGATGTCTTTCACGTGCATTTTTACGTAAAAGTGAACATAAAAGTGTAGAAAAGTGATCAGTTTCAAAACTTTTAAATTGTTTATTTATTATTTTGAAAATTTGGGAAAGAAAAAAAATTAGTAATCGATAAAATGTAACATTTTGAATGATAACTTACAAATGCTCAAACGAATGCAAAATAAAGCAACATTAATCTTAAAAACAAAAAAAAAAAAAAAGGAAAAAAAACTTTTTTTGTACTTTTCTGATGATAATGAAAGATGATATATAATTGTGAAATTTGAATCGTTCCAGCAAAATCAAAATATATGATATGGTAATGGCCTAATTGTTATGCTAATCAAGTAATTAATTACAGGTGAAATTTTACCTTTGATGATAATTAACTTTTGCCAAAGTCCAATCATGATAGATAAATCAATTTGCATTAATAGTTTACTAATATCAAGATGAAAAAAAAAAAAAAAAAAAAGAAAAAAAAGGTCGAAGGATGAATTAGCTCGAAACCCCATACAGCACTTCTTTTTTTAAATTAAAATTTCAATGCAATTAAAAATTAAATTAAATTACTGGAAAAAAATGATTAACTTCAATGAACAAGATGGTATTCTCGTTTATCAGATGATATATTATCATTGTGATAGAGTTTCTTCTTTCATATCTTCTCATTCATAAATTACTGCTGCATACCGGGATCAGATAGCATTTAAGAAACGGATGATAAAAGATTTTAAATTTGAAATTTCTCATCAAATTCGATGAATAATCAACATGGAATAATTATATTTGAAATTTTTAATAATACTTAATTTTTCGTTTACTCATTTTAAAATTGCAACTAATCTTCTCACAGCATTTTTTTCATCATCATTATAATATTTAATATGCATGAAAATTTCACTTTACAAATTTTAAAATCAAATGATTTCCTTTTTCCTTTTTTTTTTTCAAATAAAAAAAACTCAATGAATAAATTCATCGAATTGTAATACATATTAATACTATGGCATACAAAAATTTTTTTTTTTTGCTGTAAATTTTCCATTTTCTTTTTTAATTGTGTATCATAAATGGTTAACATATTACTTGAATTGATTCAGAATGATTAACAAATTCAGAAATAAAATTAAAAACTTATCACACTTATCATAAATTTTTTTAAAGAAAGATTGAATTGAATTAATTGTAATATCAAGGAAAAAAAAAGAGAAATTCCGCAGGTAAATCATAAAAATATGAATTAAATCATGCAATCATTATCAATTAAATCATTATCAATTATTTTTCAGGTAAAAAAAAAAGAATTGTATTAATTGAAACATTAATAAGATCAGTTTTTTTTTTGTTTTTTTTTTTTTTATAAGTTTATTAATGATAATATAATATTGATAATGATAATATTATTAATGATAATATAATTTGTTCGTATTATTTCAAAATTTCTCAATGACAATTTTTTTTTTGTTTTTATTTCAAATTTGTTAACTTCAAAGTTTACAAAGGAATTAAGAGGATGAAGAAATGCAACTTTTTGTTGACATTAAATGAGATAAAGGGAATGTTTACATAAAAAAGTTTGATGAAACAGTAAATTAGCGTTTCTTGCAACATTGTGATCCGTTATTACATGGAATGTTGCCATTTGTACAATAACAATGTATCATTGCTGTTTGTTGGCATTGTGTCAGCTGTTGTTGTTGTTGTTGTTGTTGTTGTTGTCGCAGTAATTGATGTTGATGACCACAATTTTGTTGACAAATTGTTTGACAAGCTGGTTGACATTGTGGTTTAATAATAATATTTATGTTACATTGCTGTAAACATGTTTGCTGACATTGTGGAATACATTGCATCGATTCAAGCATTGCTGCATTAAGATCAACTCGAATTACCTAAAAGAAAAAATGAAATAAACAAAAATAAACAAACAAACAAACAAAAATTAATGATAAATAAATATTTAAATATAATTAAAAGTTAATTAAAATTGCTGGGATAAATTAGGCTATTAATTAATATAATTGTTTACAAATTTTAATTTTAGTAATGGAAAAGAAACTAACTTACTAAATTATCATTTCATTTCGTCGCATATTTCTAAACAATCATTCATACGGGCCATTTTTTAATGAATATTTTTCGAATTATCAGAATAAAATCCCACATTACTAATTATCAAATATTCTGCTTATTTCTCTAATTAATCAAACTATTCGGGTAAACGGTTCGAAGTAGATAACGTTGAACTATTGATTATGCTTTAAATACTTTCCTTTTTTTTCTCCAATAGAATCCTTTATTAATGATTCCTACTAACACTGTCAACGATGATATCGCTACTATCGAAAATTTGAACCAGTTATCGAAAAAAAAAAAAAATTAAATATCAACAAATTCCTTTTTCAAATTTTTTAAATTTTTGATTTTATGATTGACATTTTTTTTGCAAATTATTAATTAATTTTCATATTTTTGTTAACTTTTAACCGTTTACTTTTACGAAATGTTAATAACTATGAGGACAAATGCTTTGTTTATATCATATAAACATGTTAATTTAGTTGAAATAAAACTTTTTAGCTACTTTTTTAACGATCAAATTGCAATGAAACTAATATTCGAAGTTACTTTAATTAATTTAACTTTAATTTGAAACGAAATATTTTAAAAGAGGAGAGAAAAAAAAAAAAAAGGACAGTTTGAACCTGTGGTTGCTTCACTTGCTGGACGACAGATGCTGATTGTTGTTGTTGTTGATGATGATAATGATGACAAAATTGTTGACAATTTTGAGTGCATGGAATGGAACAATGTTGTCCACATGATTGATTGCAACTATCAAAACAATTTGCAAAGCAGTACTGTAATTGGGTAAATTGCGGGGAAAATGACGAGTGTGAAAAGATGTTCGGATAGTTGAACGGATTTATCTGTGAGGCAAATTGTGATTCCGGTGATATGATGCAAATATTGATACATTGTTGCTTGCATTGTGGTTGACATTGTTGATTGTTACTCATTTGTTGATTACAAAATTGTTGACAATTCTGCTGACAATGAGGTATACATTGTTGATGTTGATAGAGGTGTTGCGATTGCATGCTAGATGAACAACTTTGTTGACATTGTTGCATGCATCCGCATTGCAATCGATTACTATCCGAAACAGATTGCTGAATGATACAAAGTTGCTCACAACCAATTAAACAAATGAGACATTGTTCTGTAATTGGTAGTAATTGCTGATGAGAATTGGGATATGATTGTTGTAATGAATATATATTTGGATTCCAATAAGGTAAATTACTAAGTTGATGGTGTTGATACTGTTGCTGTTGCAAGTTACATGATTGCATGCATGCCATAAGGCATGCATTATTACAATGCATTTGTGGCATATATGGATTGCATTGTGTGTTGCAAGATTGTTGGCAACCTGTTTGACATTGTTGCCCGATATATCCATGCAAATTGCATCCGCAACGATTTGATTGTTGTAATTGTTGTTGCACTTGAGGACATGAACATGACATGGAGAATGTGGAGGATTTCGGGATGCAAATACATAATTCACCAATCCATGATTGCATTTGTTCTAATTGATTGCAACCGCATGATTCACGTCGTGTACGTATCATATGTTCAGCCTATACACCTTCAATTTATTTAGCATAATTAAAGAACAAATATGAAATTATTGCAAAATTATTTTAATCAAATTAATAAAATTATCTCAATTTTTTTTTTTTTTTTACTTTTAATCATACAAATGAAAACATACGCTTACATTATTTATCACAATTATTGTGATAGAAACAATAAGTAATTGAAATTGTAAGATATCCATTAAGCCGATAACAATTGAAAGCGATGAATGAGATCGTTGCAATAAAATAAGTTGACTAAAATTTAAATTGTTGACAATCCGTTGTTAGGTTGAATTTTCATTCCTAACATCATCAATGGTATTGAATTTAAGCCACAAATCAAACTTTTAACCGGTTTTTATATTGGATTTTTGTTTGCTAAAATGACATAAACTATTATTAACATTACAAATGGTGTTCTTCAATTTTGTAATACTTTCATTTTTAGTACACACTAATATCATTATTCACATAGTAATTTCATTCATTATTTCGTATCTTTCACTAAAAATATTTTATGAAATTAATCAATTTTTTGTTTTCCCCAACACATACTTTATTAGACTTCGTTTTTTTTTTTTCCTGTTTATATTTATCCATTAATAGAAAATGTAATTAGCAATGGTTAAATTCAAATAAGAATTTCATGCAAACAGCTGCAAAATTTTTTTTATTTTTTCATACATATATTAGCAAAAGCAAAAAGATATAAATACTCCAATGTGAAAATTTTTTGAATTTAATAAAAGATTAGATTAGCAGAGAAAAAAAAAGAATAGCTGGTTGTTTGTCAAAAA